TGACTTCCAAAACTGTTGTTGTTATTGCTGTGCACCTTCAAGTCATTTCCAACTGATGATGACACTAAGGCAAACCCATCATGAACCTCCTTATACCTGGCGTATAAGACGACCCCCCACTTTAACCCCAGATTTTGCAGGTTAAAAAGTAGTCTTATACCCCAGAAAATAAGGTAATATGGAAAATAAAACAATGGTCTAAGGCTGTAAATGTTTGATACACATTCCAATCCCCTGGAAATGGGGACACCAGGGATTGCAGTAACCTCAGGACCACTGCATTAATTTTCCATGCAAACAAAGTGATGCTGAAAATTCTGCCACAAAGACTTTTACCATATATAGAGCAAGAAATGTCCAATGTCTTAGCTGGGTTCAGGAAAGGACAAAGCACTAGGAATCATATTGCAAACATATATTGGATAATGGAGCACATCAAAGAATTTCAAAAGAAAATCAACCTGTGTTTTATTCATCATAGCAAAAGCCTTTGATTATGTGTATCATGAAAAATTATGGGTTGCTCATAAAGAAATGGTTGTACCACAATATTTGATTGTCCTAATGTCCTGATTGTTAATATTTGATTATTCTTGTCCTGTACTAAGGACAAGAGGCTACCGTTAGGACAGAATACAGAGAAATGGAATGGTTTCCAATTGGTAAGGAGGTCAGGCAAGACTGTATTTTATCACCATATCTATTTATTGAACATATTTGTTAAGCAGGACTAAACTTGGAGGAAGGAGGCATGAAAAATTGTAGGAAAAACCAATACTAAAGTTAGGATTGTCCACGCCATCATATTTCCAATTTCTACATATGGCTATGAAAGCTGGACTGTGAAAGCTGGACACCAGGGAGCCCTGGTGGCACAGTGGTTAAATGCCAGTACTGCAGTCACAAGGTTGTGAATTAATAATAATAAAAATAAAATTTATTTTTATCGCGCCCCTCTGTGCAATGCAACCGGGGCAGCTTACAACATAAAAATATACATTCCGTATCCCACAATCCCACCCACCCCTTAAAATACTATTAAAAAATTGACAATTTAAAACACACTTAAAATAATAACACATATAAACAATAACTGCAGCAGAATCAGGGATAAGAAGGTTGGGCTATCT